TTCCAATCACAATAAAAGTTGCTGATTGCTGACCTGATCATACATGCTCATACAATTTGATATTGCAAATCAGGGACTTCAAATATTTTAAACAAGCATGATAAAGATCTTGAAACAACTTTGATTATAGTTATCTATTTTTTAGTGATCACAGCTGGCTCACAAAACAAATCAACAAACATTTTGGAAGATTTGTTCTGTAATTTGGCTGGGCTTAGGTGTGCTTTGAATATGGTCAAAAACTCATAATTTGAGCTATTTTGTGAGGTTCTTGATCCACCCATGAGTCTAATGAGTATAGGAACAACATAAAAGAAGCACATTACTTATGTATACCACCCCCAAACATCTATATTTTGCATCCCTTGCTTCCTCTCCCACTGAGAAAACATTACAGAATGTGCATGGTGGTGCTAGTACATCCTGGCATAAAAATTAGATCCCTGATTATAAGGATTTATGAGAAGAAAATGCCTCAGACCTAAATAATCAATTAACACCAACAAAAAATCATGCAGCAATCAAGTATAGAGCAAATATGGGTAACACCATGCAATGGTAGTGAAAAGTGGCCTCACACTAAGGGTTCACATCTTTTTATCTGATTATTATTTTATTTTTCTCAGGCCAATTCATGCATCAAGTATGCTGACCACAATTTATACATCATGCACCCATGGTGTGTGTTCATGCATGCTGATCATCCAGACCATCTGGTCATGCACCAGGGCCAGCCTGCAAAAAAATAATTGATTACAGGGTGCTTATATGTCAGTGCTCTATGCCTGTAGCATGCAAGCATCAGTCTCAAGCCTGGTCAAATAGCCCTGAATTTTCAAATTTTGTTTACCTGGAAACATGTCTTTTGAGTATTTTTCCTTTGACACCCTTAGAAACACTATACCCAATTCCTCCAAACATGAGCTTGCATATGCTGATATTGGTGGTGAATGCACACTAAACTATGGACTCCCAGACTTACAGCGTGCATATGCTGAAACTATTGCAGGAATGTTGCTGTTACTCTGGACAGTTCTGATGTGACAGATAGCTTCTCATCTGATGCATATGCCCTAAAGTAGAAATCATGATTGGCATGTATCTGCCTGCCTACCTGGTAGGTGTTCAATGGCAGAAAACACCACGTATGTCATGTACCAGTGAACTCACTGACTCGTGGCTGCACCGCCTGGTGCCTCCTACATGTCTCTGCTGCTACTTACTGCTACCGCCACCGTCGCCCTTACGGCGAACAACTGAAATCTTACCAATGGCAGACCCGGGTCCCTCGACACAAATTCTTCACTTGTTAACGTTTCCAGCTCCTCATAGACACAGGGTATTCGTAAATCCGGATATTTACCTTATATGGGACCAACCAACGTCTGCACCTGTGTATCGTGGATACCGCATATATGATTCACAGCCGCCCTGCGTCATAAAGCGATATTTCGCGCCGAGACCGTCCACTTGTAGGAGCAACTCTTCGATCCTCGATCCGAGCGGAAACGTGGATATGATTCCCTTCTAGACGCCCGTGGCTTGAACGTGGCCGACTGATGATGCGGTGGCTGCTTTAGATCATCTTAGTTCAGAACGTTAGAAAATAGCTATTTGATGCCACGCAGGAGATACCAGGGGACCAAAGGCCCACCGTACGTTATTTCTGACCAGTTTGCTTTAGCCTGGGCTAAAAATCCGCCTTTTCTTATTTTCCCACCAGCGCGGCTCATCCAATTTGTTAAATGCCGAATCGTACATCGCGCAACAAAGAATCACATCACTCGCCAACGCATGTGGGATTTCGTCGTCCACTGGTCATGCCAATGTTTGACCACTGCCTACAGGGCCATGCAGTCACCATTTCATTGACGAAGACTTTCAGAGGTAGGTTCTACGCTTGATGCAGAATCAATATGATCCATCCTCTCAAGCAGTACTCGTAGGAGGCCACACAAATTGGTTGACAATGGTTTATTGTTAACACCCAGACGCCGTCCGATGTCAAACAGCAACTGTCCAGGGTGAGTCGAACAAGCGGCGGCGCTACGACGGCTGACCTGGGTCGGCAGCACATCCCACCGACTCCGGTTATGCCACCAATGTCATTTCGCCTCGGCGGGAGACACCTTCACCAGGTCACGGCAGCCGCAGCATGCCTGCGGGCTGCCGCGTCCGGAAGGAGTGTCTGGGACACCGGCG